TGCTTCCTCTTGCTCTTTTAATTTGTGCTTTTTCTTCTTTTTCTCTTTACTGGTAAACAAGCTGTCTGAAAGGACAGGTGAATACATTTTTTCCACATGTTCTGTTGTGTTTTCTGACTGCAGGTCTGACACAGTGTTTTCCAGTCCAATGATATCATCAGCTTGAGATGAAGAACTTGCATTCTGACTTTTCTTTTTGCGTTTGGCCATCTTTAACACACGTGCTGCATTACCTTCCAAATGTTCCACTGCACTGCCATCGCTTGGCCTTCTTTCAATCGTCTTTTGTGCTATCAGCCCAGAGACGACATCAAGCGGAGACACATCCAGATTGACATCAACAGATTCATACTGATGTTTCTCACTTCTATCCCTTTTTTTCTTCTTTTTCTTCCCTGAGCTTAATTTAGTTACATTGGGTGAAGAACATCTTGTCATTTCCTCTGATGTCTGTAAATGCTCAAACTGATTGGTCTCGGTGGCCTCAATGGACTGAATCACATTATTTCCCCTAATTTCTGAAGGTCTATCATCCATGTGGTCCAACATTTCACTTGATAAGCTATCTGTTGTTCTTTCCCTGTCTTTGTTCGCTCTCTTCTGTTTTGTTTTTCTGGATAGCAAATCCGTAGCTGGTGACTCACTTTGTTGAAACAACTGCACATTGTCTCCAATATCTGAAGCAAGTTCTGCGTTCTTTCGCTCTTTTAATTTCTGCTTTTTCTTCGTTTTCTTTTCCAAGAGTTCTTCTGCGCTTTCTGACTGCGAGCCTGATGCTTGTTTATCCAGTCCAATAATGTCATCACTTTGAGATGATGAACTTACATTCTGACTTTTCTTTTTGTGTTTGGCAACCTTTAAAATATGTGCTGTATTACCTTCTAAATGTTCAGCTGTGCGGTCATCGCTTGGTCTTTCTTCGATGACCTGTTGTTCAACCACACCATCAACATGATCAAACTGAGACATAAAATTCACATCCAGATCAACAGATTCATCTTCTGGCTCTTCAGTCTCATCTCTTTTCTTCTTTTTCTTCTTCTTCTTTACTGATTTTAATGTGGTTACATTAGGCGTTGGACATCCTGTGATTTCCTCTGATGTCTGTATATGCTCAGGTCGATTCGTCTCTGGATCTTCACTGGATTGATCATTTACTCTCAACTCTGCTGGTCTATCAGAGTCTAAAGTTTCATTTGATGGGATGTCTGTAGCACTATTCTCCTCTACATATGCCATCTTAGTCCTCTCTCTGTCTTTTCTCTTCTTCTTTTTAGTTATTTTGGATGTCAGTTCAGCTGTTTGTGACTCACTGAACTGAACCGTCTCAACCGACTGCTTTTCTACACTTGACTCGTGTTCTTTTAATTTGTCCTTTTTCTTCTTTTTCCTCTTAACCTTTGTGATAACACTGTTGTCTGCCACCATAGATAAAACACTTTCCTCCAAGATCTCTGATGTCTCCTCCAAATGTAAAACTGATGCTTCCCTTTGCTCTTCATTCGTTACTCTGTTTTCCACTTCATGCGACTTATCGTTCTCTCTGGGTGTTGTTTTAACTCCAGTGATGTTATCAACTGGAGATTCAGAGCTCACATCTACATTTGTATCACACTGTATGAAATTAATTGCACCCAATTTCTCCTTTCTCTTTCTTTTTCTTTTAATAAAGCTCATTCCACCATTTGTAAACAAAGGAGTTTCCTGAAGATCTGTTTCCATCTCTATCGCCCTTCGTTTACTCAACTTGAGGTGCTCAGATGAAATGGAGTAAACTTCTTTTAATGGTTCATCAGCTAGTGGTAAATGTTTAGATGGTGGTTGCACATTCATGGTCTCCTCTACATCTGTAACATCAGAATCCTTATGAGATTTTGACACTGTTTTTCTCTTTTTATTGTTACACTTTTCCTCTTTCCTTGAGAGCAGTTCAGCATTTAGGCCAACAGGAATCTGGTCTGTCTTTTGGGATTCTGGGTGTTTGGTACTGTTCATGTCTTGCGTAGTAAACTGCTTGTTTGGTGTTCCTGGCCCAAACACGGACACAGATTTTCTCTCAGTCTCTATTTGAGTTTCATCGCTGTCGTTGTCCTTATGTGCATGGCGGTCACCATCAAACCATCTTGGTGTTCCTGGTCCAAATATGGACACAAACGGTCCTTCTGTCTCTATTTGGGTCACATCACTGTCTTGATCGCTCTCCTCCACGTTCGCTGGAATCGATGCCGCTTTATGAATTTGATTGTTCTTCTGTTTCTGCCTGTTCAATGGCCTGAATAAATCCTCTGAGCCAAAGTCACTGTCAGTCTGTTGAATATCATTCTGTATAGAAATGTCTCCGTCTTGGGGTGGCAACAAAGAATTGCTTTTGTTGAGCAGGTTATTGTCAAACGTCAGGTCATCCTCATGCTCCACTGCTGGTTCTGTAACGGCCTCCACAGAGTTTCTCTGTCTGTCTTCAATTACAGATAAATGATCTAAATGAGAGTTCTCCGCACACTGGACAGAATCGGAGTGTTCAGCATCATTTAATTCAGCTTCTGAATGTTCAAGAACATCACTTGGTCTT